GACCTGGACTTCACGGCGCAGAACGAACTCCTTCGGCAAGAAGTCCGGAAGATGCAGCACGACCATCCCGCTCGGGAGGAGCTTCGCCTAGAACTGGACGGGCACGAGGACGAACATGGAAACGGGCAAGATCTCGGCGACGGGGACGCTCCATCACCACATCTCCCATCGACGCCAGCTGGATCGTCATCCGAGACCCACGCATCTAGCCCCAGTCCATCATCGTCGAACCCGACTGAACCGGACACTTCTGCATCAACTGGATCGTCCGGCATGCGGCGCCTGCAAGTCACCAGAGCCAGCACGCGCGGGAAGCCCACCAGCGACGATCATATCGACGTCAACTTGGTTCCTGCCAATCTGGAAGTCACCATGAACGACCGCGGTCGAGCCCATGCTACAACGGGCCGCGTAGAGCCATCCGGTCTTTCCTTCACTCAGCTGGCTGAGATAGCCGATCAAGCCCAGCTCCCATGCCCTGGCGATACTGAGGATTTCGCCCACGTTGCGAAAGACCCCTTCACGGTGCCGCGTGCTCACGCCTACGTCACGACCACTCACGAACACCACGGGATCTTGGAGGAGACGAATCAAGCGATCAAAATCCCCAACACCTACGACGAAGCCATGAGCTCTCCCCAGCGCGAAGAATGGAAAGGAGCGTGCAGCAAGGAAATGGACAACATGCGGAAACACGACGTCTACAATCTGGTGCCCCTCAGCAGCGTTCTCAAGGGAGAGAAGATCCTCGGAACGAAATTCGTCTTCAAGAAAAAGCTGGACGGACGCTTCAAAGCTCGCCTGGTAGTCGGAGGACATCGTCAAGAGCCAGGACAGGACTACGGACGCAGCTACGCACCAGTATGCCGTATCGGGAGCATTCGCATGACGTGCGCCATTGGCTGCCACAACAACTGGCCCATCTACCAACTGGACGTTGTCGGTGCCTTCCTGAACGCCCTCTGCGACAGAGATGTGTACGTCAGACCCGCCCCCGGTACATCCGCCAAGAACTCCGCGACGGGAGAACCCATGGTGTACAAACTAGAACGGAGCCTCTACGGCCTATCGCAGTCGCCTGCGCTCTGGAACGACACCCTGGACGAATCCCTCACGGTGTTCGGATGGAAAAGGACTCAATCCGACCCCTGCGTGTACGTGTATACCAGCGGCAACAGCATCGTGATTCTCACGGTCTACGTAGACGACATTCTCATCACGGGAGGAGACCAGCAGCTCGTTGACCAGAAGAAGAAGGAGCTCACGGATCGATTCGAGATGACCGACATGGGAGAGGTAAAGCGGATCCTCGGGATCGACGTGCCGCGGGACTACGAGCAAAGGACCCTGGCCATTTCACAGGAGCACTACGTGAACGCACTTCTGGAGCGGTTCGGAATGCAAGAGGCCAACCCAGTGAGCACTTCTGGATACGGAGCGGAAATCTCCACGAATCAACCTCAGGACCAATTCCTTGGACCCATGGTCAATTTTTACCAGTCGATGACGGGAAGCATCCTCTACGTGGCCCAGTGCACGCGATTCGACCTCTCCTACGCTGCCCTACCACTTTCCAAGGCCTGCAGCAACCCAGCGCAGGTGAACATGACAGCAGCCAAGCACGTTCTGCGATACCTTCGGGGTAATCCAGTTCTTCCTATCGCCTACAANACTGGCCCAGTGGCGATTTAAAGTCCTTTGTTAAGTACCCGAAACCGGCTGATCTAAGCTTGAGCAGGCTGATATTGTAGTGGCAACACTCTTTGGAGGGCCGAACCCGTGTATGTGGCAAAATACTGGGATGACTTGAGTTTGGGGGTGAAAGGCCAATCAAAGTCGTGAAGTAGAGCGTCTTGATATTGAAAATCTGGGGTAGAGCACTGTGTAAGTGAAGGGGAGATTATCTCTTTCTGAACTTTTGCAAACTCCGAATACAGATTTATTCATTCAGGGCAGACAGAGTATGTATGCAAAGATTCATACTCAAAAGGGAAACGGCCCAGACTGTAGGTTAAGGTCCATAAAATAGTTTCAGTGGTAAAGGTGATATTTGCTCTGAGACCGTCAGAAGGTAGGCTTGGAAGCAGCCATTCTTTGAAGACAGCCTAGCAGCTCACTGACCTAGAGCAAAAGTTCCGCCAATTTTGAGGGCTTAAACCTATAACCGAATCCTCAGATAATGTTTATTTCAAACCTTTATGGTAGCAGAACGTTCCGTAGATCGAAAAAACTATAGCGTAAGCTGTTGTGAAGATATCGGAAGTGAAAATACTTGCATGAGCAGCATAAAACAAAAAAATTGATGTATTGTAGCCGTAAGTCCAAGGTTTACGATCCTAAGTAAAACTAGGTCGTGAGAGGTTAAAACCTCGAATTGAAACGGTCCCTAAGCTAGCAAGCCAAAGCTTGCGGTAATGGGTAAGATTATACTGTGAAAAGTTGCTGTCGAAAAATTCACTTTATCTTTGAATTTTGGTAAAGGTAAATTATTTTTCCAAGAAAAAGGCACTTTGCTTAGAACCGTACCGATCTATTCTTCATGGACGAGTGCACGGAGTACGTTGCGCAAGCCGAGGGGCAGGCCGGCCTCTTCGCCCACCAGTCTGAGCACCCCTCGTTCCAGATGGTGACCCCCACGAGCCACGGTTCGCCTGAGCCACGGTCGCCTCCACCAGATTGCGACCCGCGACCCCACTGACCGGTTCGATCTCCCCGACCACAACACCACCTGGCAGATGAATATGGGTATCGACCACAACGAGGTAAGCTCGACACACACACACGACTCGAAAACACAAAATTGAATCGAATGATGTAGAAGTATGTGTTTTGTCCTGTCGGTAAATGGAACGAATACGAAGGCAACCCGTTGCCTCCTCCACCGGGCCTTTGTCCCCCGCACTTCAACAGCACCTGCCGTATCCATCCGTCCTCGCAGGTGAGCTACTCCGCTACCGGGATCCTCGGTGAGACCTCCACCCCGACCAAGGACGCCTACGGCCAGGACATCATGACCGGCATGGAAGCCATCCGCGGGTCCGAGGAAGACTGTGAGTCTTAGATAGCACGCATAGTCGGAGATTTGGTAGAGCAAAACGTAACTCGGCGACAGCGTAGGTAGGCTAATCCTCGCCCCTCGGGATATATGCCAGAACCCTGTTGAATCTCGGTGATTCTTATCCTCTGTGCACCAGAGTCCGATACGTCCCCCTCATGGGGCACCTTGTTTTGTAAACTGTTGAACATGGTGTTCACCGTAGGTTGGACATAAACGAAACTCCACACCCCCTTTAAAAATTGTCACAATAATGCCACCGCTCATGTTGTACTTTCTCGAGCGCAGAATGAAATCGTCGTTATTATCACACAGCAAAAAAAGATACCACAACCGTTGAAGTGTGTGCAGCATTTGTGTAGACGGAACCTCCGCTCTCATGTAAGAGTTCGCGGACACAAGCACACCAACGCATGGAACCTGCGTGCCACAGCCATAGAAGGACGATACGGTGGAGTGGGGAGCAGGTTTAACGACCCGGCGTTATTTCCGTGCCCATTCCCGGCGCCACCAACTCTATCATGTACTGGTACGGCACCCCCGATCGTGTTCGCGTGTTTGCGAGGCAATTCCATGGGGAGGTGCGATGTAGCGGCGTGTTCCACCCTGGTTTTTACACGAGTCATACACTAGTTTTCCTACAAGTGGCTCCAACCTTTTTGTACGCTTGTGAAAAGTGCATCGAGTGTCTCTGGAGACACTCGCCGTATTTCGCTCGTTGTCGACCGACATATGAGTACTGTAGTCTACAGTAGCTGATACGGAAACTTTACGACCCTACAACCACCTGAACCACCCCTGCGCCGAACACGCATCATTCCTTTTGCGTGTGGATTTTGTTCAACACCGGGCAGCCGGCGTCGCGGGCCCCCTGGATGTTGCCTTCCCCATGGACACTCTCGAGCTCTAACTTCACGGCGAGGACCCTACCATGCACTCAGGGGTGAACGTGGTTCTCCTTCGTTGAAACCAACCCTGTTTGGACCCAGAGCCGTGGATCATTCTTCAGTTGGATTTTCCTCTTGATGCCTTTTAGGTAGATTAGGTCAATGATCAAAGGATGGCGCAGGTTCGCTAAAGCACGGCCGTCAACGTTTTTTGAGTAGAGGGAATTCGATCGGATGTCTTATTCCACGCTTTTGTTGCAAAAGGCACAGTCACCAAGTCGCTCACTCATTCGGGGAAGCCGTAGACCGGATAAACGGTTGGCCAAATTTCTTGCTGTCGAACAAACAAGCGTCGTTGATGGCGATCTTTGCCCCCATCGATTCAAGTGTTGGTTTTCCTTCTCTCTCGGTATGACGCATATATACGAGATGAAGCGGGAAATTGTACGACTAGGGACGTGGCCTGAAGAGCACGTCACGGCGCCCCTTGCCGGATTTCGATGGCACTTTTCAGGGTCAAGGCGCTATGATACGTTGTCGGGTAGGTTTTGCGTAGGTGATAATCAACCGTTGTGTTCATAGTGCCCATTGAACCCATGGGCGTATTGTTCCCAAGCTTCCCGCAAACTTATGTTTCGTGAAGGGAGTGTTTGGGCTGATTTGGAATTGAGTTCGATGTTTCCAGGCTCTTGTCTCAATACCAGCGAGAGAACAGTCCAAGGGTTTCTCGTGGGTTTGAGGCCTGAAGACTGATTCGATAGGGGTAGCACATAAGACCCAGAAGCTTCTCGTGCTCTGGTGGTTCACACAAGCATCCAACCCATATTTTACTTTTTGCATCAGTTTATTCCGATTTGAATTCCAGTCGTGTTTCATCTAGCCTGTTGTTGGACATACTCGTAGCATCGTGGCTGTAGTCGGATGATTGCGGGAGGACCAAAAGTGTCGCTGTGGGGAGATTCGACTACAGTAAGTCGCAGTGATTGGAATTGCGTGACGGACGGATGTGGTGACTTCACACTCCTCCGCCCGCCGTGGTGATTTTTCCGGTGCTTTCCACCACGCTCTACAATACAAGATTATGCCAACCAATCGCGGCCCGCACTAGCGGAGGTGCCTCCATACTCCACATACACGCCACGCTTCGGCCTACCCGGTTTCCCCAACACGCCAGTGTCAACGACTTTGTCGAGGGTGATTGGATAGATTCAGCCAGAGGTTTGCAGCAGCGGCAATCAAGAGCAACGGCGGTGGACTACGAAACGATCAAAAGAACACCGGGAACCGGGGACCGGGTTTGCGCTTTTGGCAGGTCTTTTCTTTTCTTTTCTTCTTTTCCTTTCGGTCCCAGTTTGTCAAACAGAAGTGAGCAGAACTAGGAAGACAAAACAAACGAAAAAAAAAAAAAAACGGAGCAAGAGAAAACAGGACGCAAGATCTGAGAAAATCAAAACGCCAATGAACAGTAAGGCATAAAACAAAACAAAACACACAAAACATAAAAAAAAATGGGAGGTGTCCCCGCAAGACGCCGAAATACCAAACACTAAGAAGAAGAAACCGTGGGGACGGCTGACGGTAAGGAGTCAGCGGGAAGACGGATGCGGACGCTGATGTCGCCCAAAGGGCGGGAACGATGTTTCTCCAGACACCAGGATCCACAGACGGCGTTTAAGGCGGTGGAATAGAGATCCTCAGGCAGGGGAAGAACGCTGGGGCCAGGATCATCGAGGAACCGAACAATGTAGGAGTCGCCCTGATGAGCCCCGATACGTCCCGTCCACCATAATCCGTCTCGAGCCTTGTACCACAGCCTCGCTCCCACGGGTACGGGCGAAGAACTGAAACGGCGAAGCCAAGTCTCGTGAAGTACAAGATCGGCTCCCGGGGGCAGATAACGTCCTCCACGAGTCCGTGCGAGCTCCCGCTGTGCGGCGCGCGTCCGAGTGGTGCGGTAAGCGCGGTTACCCTGCTTGCTTTGGCTAATTTCCCGAGACTAATACAAAAGGATGTGTCGACGGGATTACTCGAGGTCGGATTCACGTTCCCAGGAAGGAGTAGCAAGCCCAATCCAATNACCCCGATACGTCCTGTCCACCATAATCCGTCTCGAGCCTTGTACCACAACCTCGTTCCCACGGGTAAGTAAGGACGAAGAACTGAAACGGCGAAGCCAAGTCTCGTGAAGTACAAGATCGGCTCCCGGGGGCAGATAACGTTCTCCACGAGTCCGTGCGAGCTCCCGCTGTGCCGCGCGCGTCCGAGTGTTGCGGTAAGCGCGGTTACCCTGCTTGCTTTGGCTCATTTCCCGAGACCAATACAAAAGGATGTGTCGACGGGATTGCTCGAGGTCGGATTCACGTTCCCAGGAAGGAGTAGCGAGCCCAATCCAATGCGTGTGATACAGGACAGCGAGAACGCCGCTACGCCCACGCACCAGCTGATGTCCCAAAATGTAGTCAACCTTCACACGTCCCACCGGCGCCGACACATCATCTGGGGTGACATGAAACGGCGGACATTTATCTCCGAAAGAATGCAAAACATAGCGAGAGAGTTCTGCAGGCATGGACTGTGGCCGATCGTCCGTCTCATACGGGTTGCGGCAGGGCTTGCAACGAAGAACAGACACCCTCGAACGA